CAGGTTCAATTCCCAGCACCCACAGAGGGCGGTTTACAACCACCTGTAACTCGGCCCTCATTAGAGGATATGATGCTCTCTTTTGGCCTCCTCTGGCATTGCACAGAGGCTGTGTTCAGCTGGTGCCTCCTCACCGCTGGAATGTGCTAGCCAGCTTTGGGTCGTAGAGCAGGGGCTATCCCTTCCTGGCATTAGTCCAGGGAGGCAGCCTGACCTCTTCCACAGCAGGTCAGGGTGCCAAGAAAAATACAGAGCCAGTACCGCTCACAGGCTAGAACTGAAGTCCCAGAATCCTACTGATGACAGCAAGTCCCAAGGACAGCTCAAAACTCAAGAGAAGGCCCCTCCGCGTCTCCTGGGAAGCACCGCATTGCCCACAGGGAGGAAGGGAGTCATGTGTGGTAACAGACTACAAAAGGGCAGGCACCCTGCAGCCCTCCAACCCCATCCCCTTCCCCTTGATTGCCTGTTCTTCTATTTTCTCACTACTTGGCTTCATTTTAGCTTTTTTTTTTGGTTTTTCGAGACAGGGTTTCTCTGTGTAGCTTTGCGCCTTTCCTGGGACTCACTTGGTAGCCCAGGCTGGCCTCGAACTCACAGAGATCCGCCTGCCTCTGCCTCCCGAGTGCTGGGATTAAAGGCGTGCGCCACCAACGCCTGGCCATTTTAACTATTTTTATCATCTCTATCTTTCAAGAATATAAGCTCCACAAAAACAAGGGCTAATCTGGGCTACATAGTGAGTTTCAGGACAGCCTGAGATATAGGCTTCTTCACTACTGTGCCCTTGTGTTCCTGGCACCTATATGACAGTCAGGGTTTGAATGAATGAATGAATGAATGAATGAATGAATGAATGAATGAATGAATGAGTGAAACCCTGGAGGCTGATTTCATGTACACACACACACACACACACACACACACACACCTGTAATTCCAGCCCCCAGAAGGTGCTGGCAGGAGGATCAGAGTTCAAGGTCATCTTTCGCTACCTGGCTCAAAGTCAGTCTGGACTAAAAGAGATCTTGTCATAAAAGAAAGAGAGGAAAAAAGAAAGGAGGAGGTGGGCCTCCAAAGGAAAAAAAAGACTGAAAAGATGTTCTACAGCGTGAACACCCAGGACAGGTACAGCCTGGCAGGGCTGGATGGCTGGGGACGGAGAGACTGTGGCTCACATTGTACAAACGTGCTCAGGGAAGTGCTTTAGGATTTGTCGTTGTTGTTGGCTCTTGTTTTATCATACGTGTGTATGTGTGCGCGCACGCGCGCGTGAACAGGGCCTCTTATTTCCCAGGCTGGCCCCCACTCGCTATTCGGCCTTGAACATCTGCTTCCCTTCACTTCTCAAGCGCTGGGATTACAGGTCTGTGACTGTTTTAAAGAATTATTATTATTATTGTTGTGTATTGCACAATTGTGGTGCGTGTGTGTGTGTGCGTGTGTGTGTGTGCGTGTGTGTGTGTGCAGGTCGGGAGGACCACTTCTGTGGAGTGTGGGTTCTCTCCTAGGGGTCCAGCTCAGGCCTCCATGTCTGCTTGGCCAGTGCCTTTGTCCGCTGAGCTACCTCACCCTCTCAGTATTCCTCCTGTTTTGGTTTGAGAAGGTGTCTCACTGTGTAGCCCTGGCTGTCCTGGAACTCGCTCTGTAGACCAGGCTAGCCTCGAGTTCAGAGACGTCCACCGGCCTCCGCCTCCTGAGTGCTGGGATTGAAGGCAAGGGCCTCCACTCCCGGCCAGAGGCCATTGGTTTTTGACACAGGGCTCACTGTGTAGCCCAGGCTGGCCTTGTATTCTCGATCCTACCATCTCTGCCTCCCGCGAGCTGGCATAACGGGCGTGCGCCACTCCATTTTTACGCACACAGGACTGATGTGTGATAAGGATCTGTGTTCTCTAAATAAGTTCCCGAGAGCTCTTTCAGCTGTCCTGGAATACACATTTGAAGTGATAAGGAAATGTCATGTTGTGGTTTTATTGGCAGCATTATTTTTTTTTTTTCTTTGTCAGCGGGATCAAAAAAGGACGTATCCGGCAACCACAGGCGTCTTAGGTTTGATTGTGTGTGGAAGGATGGGATGAATAAATATGTCACTCTCCTCTGTCTCTGTCGTCCCTACTGAACTCAGTTCCTCCTCCTCCTCCTCCCCGCCTCCTCCCCAGCCTCTCTTCTCCTCTCCCTTCCTCCTCTCTTTCTGGTGCTGATAATGGAACCCAAGGCCTCCTGCATGCTAATCACACACTCTAAGGCCGAGCTCTGAAAAAATACTGAATTAAGTAGAAATAGTTTAAATGTGGACTGGGGAGATGGCCAAGTAAGAGTCCTTGCTATTCAAGCATGAGGATCTGAGTTCAAATCTCAACACCCATGTATGAACTGGACGTGGCTACTTGAGATTGACCAGTGGGTTAGAGTGGCCGGCTAGTCGCCCTAGGGATCCTCCTGCCTCCATCTCCCAAGCGCTTGGATGACAGGTGTGAGCATCGGGCTGATCTTGTTTGCATGTTTCTTCTTCTACAAAATTACATTCTGTGTGTGTGTGCGCGGGTGCATGTGTGTGTAGGTGGGAGTGTGTGTGTGCATGTGTGTGTATGTGTTGCCAAGGTGCACATAGGGAAGCCAGAGGACAGGTTGTGGGAATTGGTTTTCTCTGTCTACCTTGTGGGACCAAATCCAGGTTATCCGCCTTGTCAGCAAACACCCTTATCCAATGAGCCGTCTTTTTTCTTGGGGTTTCTCTGTGTAGCCCTGGCTGTCCTGGATCTTGCTCTGTAGACCAGGCTGGCCTCGAACTCACAGAGATCTGCCCGGCTCTGCCTCCCGAGTGCTGGGATTAACAGTGTAGTGTGCACCACCACTGCCCAGCACCATGAAGCCATCTTGTCAGTCCCTTTTCTTTTCACGTGTGTGTGTGTGTGTGTGTGTGTGTGTGTGTGTGTGTGTGTGTCCACGTATGTGTTTCCTAGTGCTTGATTTCAAGCCCTCACAGTTGCTAGGCCAGTGCCTATCACTGAGATAAGTCCCACAACTCCTGTTTAGCTTTTAAAAATTTAATTTTTACGAGATTCTTAAAAAGAGTTTTGTTTGCTGGCCAGTGGTGGCACACACCTTTAATCCCAGCACAGAGCCAGGTGGATCTCTGTGAGTTCGAGGCCAGCCTGGGCTACAGAACAAATTCTAGGACAGGCTCCAAACCTACACAGAGAAACTCTGTCTGGAAAAAACAAAACAAAACAAAACACCAACCAAACAAAAAAGACTTTTGTTTGTATTTTTATTATTTTATCTGTATGGGTGTTTTACCTGCAAGCATGCATGTGCTCCATGTATTTGTGTGCTTTTCATGGAGGTCAGGAGTGTGTCAGAACCACTGGACTGGAGATTCAAACATTAGGGAGTTGCCATGAGGATGCTGGGAACCGAACCCAAGTCCTCTGCCGGAGCAGCCAGTGCTCCTAACCTCGGAGCGTCTCTCCAGCCACATGGTTTGTGCGTCTTCAGATCTGTGGGACGATTCTGTGTTTGCTGGTCTTTCAGAATCCCTCCTTCCCCTCATGGGCCTTACACGTGTCTGTGAGTTTGGGGAAGGAGTCTTGGGGACACGCCACAGTCTGCTCAGTGTCGGGGAACGTCTGAGACTATTTTTGACTGCGTCTCTGCAGCCTGCCAGTCAGCAGGATCCCACGGAGCAGGCAGCTGCTGCCCGGGGTTTGGAAATGCTGGACATGGCGGGCGGCAGCCACTCCTGCCCTAGCTCCAGCCAACCTGTCCCCTCTGGGGCCTCTGTCCTCACCCCTGCAGGCTCCTCAGATGGCCAGAATGAACCTTTGAGTTTTTAGGAGCCTGAGGTGCATCCTAGAAAACGCCCAGGAGGAGGAAGGCCCTTGGAGCCTGGCTGGGAAAATGCTATGAGACCATGGACTGGAGGGTAGAGAGAACTGGAGTTTGAGAACAACAGGTTCTGAGGGCAGCTGGAGTCCTGAGACCCTCACCTGTGGGTGTCTTGGCCCCACCTATTTTTTTGTGGTATCTGGAACTGAACCTAGGGGTTTACATGTGTTGGGCAAGTACTCTACCACTGAGCTACATCCCAGCCCTCTCTTTAATCTTGGCTGTAATTAATTTTTGATATTTTTTTTTTCCTTTGAGGATATGGTCTCATGCTAGCCTGGCTTGACCTGGATTTTACCCTGTAATCTGTAGTGATATATTGGGTGTCCTAATAAGCTTGCCTGAGGATCAGAGGACAGAGCCAGCCACTAGTTCCAACCTCTCCAAAGTCCTCAGCCTAAAGAGAGTGAGTTCCTGTTTCCTCATGCCTTATATACCTTCTCGCCCAGACATCACTTCCTGGGATTATAGGCGTGTATGCTTCCCAGTACTGGGATTAAAGGTGTGTGCCGCCACTGCCTGGCTCTGTTTCCAGTGTGGCCTTGAACTCACAGAGATCCAGACTCCGCTTCCTGAGTGATAGGATTAAGGGTGTGTGCCCCCACTGTCTGGCCTCTGTGTCTAATCTAGAGGCTGACTCTGTCCTCTGATCTCCAGGCAAGTTTATTAGGGTACACCATATATCACCACAGTAGCCAAGGCTTGCTTTGGATTCATGGCTACCCTCTCACCTTCGCCTACCCAGTGCTGGAGCCACAGGCGTGAGGCGTCACGGCTGCGTGCGTCACGGCTGCTTCACTTTCTATTTTGAGACAGGTGTCAGTTGCCTGGGCTGACCTTGAATTCACTCAGTAGACCTCCCCCCCCTCCTCTTTGCTGGGGACGGAACCCCAAGCTTGTGCACCACGGCAGGCAAATGCCTGGCCCCCCAGTCTCCCTCCTTCCCCGTCTTTCAGCGTCACGTGATTCACAGGCCTCTAGCTCCAAGCCTGTCCGTTCTCTGTGCCCAGCGCTTCTGATCTCCCAGGTCCATTCCCTTTCACCTGCTCTTTCCGGGAGCCCTCGACCCCCCTCCGCCCCCTTCCCCCTGAAGCGGTCCTTGTCTCAGCCCATCTGCTGGCTCACGCCTCTCTGCTTTCTCTTAGCTTGTTTGGAGGCAAAGTCTCACAGGGTCCAGGCTGGCCTCAAACTTGCTAAGTGACCAAGGATGCCTTTGAGTTCCCGATCCCCCTGCCTCCTCCTCTCAAGTGCTGGGGTCACAGGCAGGCGCTACCACAAACAACTCTGCTTTCATTTCCCTCTCTGTAACCTGGATGCGGCTTCGCGGGGTAACAAGGAGACAGAGGAGACCATGAGAAAGGCACGGTAGACGCGCGAGGTCCCTGAGCTAAGACTGACGGGTGGGGGGGGTAGGAGGAAGGCAAGGTTCAGTGCCCTGTCTGGTGGCCTCCATCCAGAGCCGCTGTGGTCTGCGGGTGGTACACCTCGAAGCAGGCGCTGAGCTCTGTTTACGGGGTGGGTGTAAGCTAGCTGAAGCACAGCCTCATGCGTCATCCGCCTGCCTCCTTTGAGACCAGGACCACTCACGGGGCTTTGGCACACTAATTAGGTGAGATTTGCAAACTCCAGCGATCCTCTGTCTTCGTGTCTGCAGCGTTAGGGTTACCAGTGCCCCCCACCACACCCGGTGTTGTGTACACGGGTTCTGAGGATTGAACTCGGGTCCTTGTGCTTGCAAGGTAATCACTTTACAGGCTGAGCTCTTCTCCCTCTGCGTCCACCTTCCCATTGCCTAGTGTGCGTGGTGTGTGTGGGGTGTGTGTGTGTATATGTGTGGTGTGTATGGGGTGTGTGGGGGGGGTGTGTAGTGTGTGGGGTGTGTGTGGGGGGTGTGTGTATGTGTGTGTGTATGGTGGGGTGTGTGGGTGTGTGTGTGTGGTGTGTGTGTGGGGTGTGTGTGTGGGGGTGTGTATATGTGTGGAGTGTGTGTGTGTGTGGGTGTGTGTGTGTGTATGTGTGTGTGGGGGTGTATGTGTGGTGGTGTGTGTGTGGTGTGTGTGTGGGGTGTGTATGTGTGTGTGTATGGTGGGGTGTGGGGGGGGTATGTGTGAGTGTATGTGTGATGTGGGTGTGTGTGTGTGGTGTGTGTGTGTGGGGTGTGTATATGTGTGGAGTGTGTGTGTGGGTGTGTGTATGTGTGGGGTGTGTGTGGGGTGTATATGTGTGGTGTGTGTGTGTGTGGTATGTGTGTATGGGGTGTGTATATGTGTGGAGTGTGTGTGGGGGGTGTGTATGTGTGGGGTGTGTGTGTGGTGTGTGTGTGTGGGGTGTGTATATGTGTGGAGTGTGTGTGGGGTGTGTGTATGTGTGTGGGTGTGTGTGTGGTGTGTGTGTGTGGGGTGTGTATATGTGTGGAGTATGTGTGGGGTGTGTGTATGTGTGGGGTGTGTGTGTGGGGTGTATATGTGTGGTGTGTGTGTGTGGTGTGTGTGTATGGGGTGTGTATATGTGTGGAGTGTGTGTGGGGTGTGTGTATGTGTGGGGTGTGTGGGGTGGGTGTGTGGGGTGTGTGTATATGTGCGGGTGTGTGTGTGTGTGTTTTGAGACAAGGTCTCAAGTAGCCCAGATTGGGCTCCAACTCACTATGTAGGGAGGCTGCCCTGAACATGGGATCTGTTGCCCCAGCGCTGGGATCGCAGGCATGAGCCACCATGGAAGGCAGGCCCTTCCCTGTCATTGCCCACTTCCTCCTGTCCCAGCCAGTGCTAGCCAAGCGTAATACCCACTCCCACCCCAGTCCACACGTGGCGTGAGAGGTGCATACACTGAGTGGATGATGACAGGCTGGCGAGCAGCCCGCTGAAGAGTTCCCTGGAGTGATGAGCAAGGCCAGAGCCTCAGATGTCCATGTTATACATTTAGGACTTTGTCCTGGGGGTGATGGAGACCACAGAGAGTTTCTCTTTTTGATTGGGGGTGCTTGTTATATATATATATTATATATATATATATATAATATATATATATTATATATATATATTCATTTATTATAGGGTTTCATGAATCCCAGGCTGGCCTCAAAACTTGCTTTGTAGCCAAGGATGGCCTTGACCTTTGACCCTTCTGCTTCCAACTACCGAGTGCTGCTTTACTGGCCATGTGCCACATGCTGGGTGTATCTGACGCTAAGGGTGAGACACAGGGTCTCATCATGTCAGCCTAACCCTCTGTCCACTGCGCCACGTCCTCATCCCACAGGGGGCTCTGAATAAGTAAGTCTGTTAGAAAAGATCCCTCTGGAGGGCCGGAGGTGGCCCCATACGGTGGCTCTAGGGGCATCTGGGGCGGGAGCCCCCCCCCCCGCTCCCTGGGGTCCTGCCTGCTGATGTCATCATCTCATTATTGCATGGTGCCCAGCCGACCAATGGACTGAGGCTCACTGTTACAATGGGCCCTAGCAACAGGTTGTGAGCTTGGGCTGTGAGGAGACCCCACCAGCGGGGAGCGTGTGAGGGGAAAGGGAGAGCCTGCGGGTCAGGTGAGTCCCTGAGGGGCCGGGCTCTCCAGCTGGGCCCTGCGGGTCAGTGCACAGAAACCCGGGTTTCCAAAAGTCCCCACCTGAACCCTATCACCACTGCTCTGCCTTTGGCTTCTGGGACCTGTCCCAGGTCACACTGAGGTAGGTTATGGAGCGGGCCTGGGAAGGGATGGATAAAGCCGAGGAAGGAGGGCCAGCCGGTGGGGAGGGGTCAGCAGGAGGAGGTGGGGGACACAGGAGGGCCAAAGGGAAGGAGGATGTGGCAGAGGAGGAGAGGGGTAAAGGAGCCCATGGATCTGGACTAGGGTCCTGACTGTGCCTCGGAGCCTACGGCGATATCTGAGATATCCCTTGGGTTATCTGAGTCCAGGTGCCTCTCCCTGCCAGACCAAGTGGGCTCCTGATTGCAAGGGTGTCAAGAGATTTCACTATTTATTTGGAGGGTTGTGTGTGTGTGTGCGTGTGTGTGTGTGTGTGTGTGTGTGTGTGTGTGTGTGTGTGTGTGTGTAGAGAGGGGGATTGCTTTTTTTTGTTTGAGGCAGAACCTCAGTCTGTAGCCCAGGCTTGCCTTGAAATCATGGTCATTTCCCTGACTTGGCCTCCTAGGTTAAGTTAGGATGACAGGCGTGTGCCACCACATCTGGGTGAGCGACTGGATTTCCGAGGTCGTGGGCCACATGGTTCATGAGTGAGAAGAGGGAGAGCTGGAAGGTCAGGGTGACAGTGAGGCGGTGTGGGGAGACACCGTCAGCAGGCATCAGGAGACCTGAGGAGACAGGGAGCGGGCCTGGCAAGGGTGCCATGGCCAGGGTGGGGGAGCGGGTGAAGGGGAGCTTACAGGCTGAATGAGAAGCGTCTTCGCTGTTGACTGGGCGTGGCATAGTGACAGAGGTAGGATTAAGAGGCCTTTCAGGGTGGCTCAGAGCAGGCACTCAGGGCTCAGGAGGACAGAGGCCCAAAGTCACAAGCCTAGCCAGGCCTGGGGGGGCAGGTGGAACTCTCACAGTCCCAGTGCTTGGGAGGCTAAAGTGAGAGAGTTGCTGTGAGTTAGAGGCTAGCCTGGGCTACACAGCCAGACCTTGTCTTTAAAAAAGGAAGTCCACAGATATTAATCACAACACTGGCCGCTAATAGCAATGCCTGCTGTGTGCCCGGCATTGTTTCATTGACCTCGTCGCTCACTGGAGTCTCCCGCTCTCGGGAGACATTCTGTTGTGAGGATGGTCACAGCCACCTCTCACAGACCCGAGTGAGGCAGTCCTGGGCCAGTTTGTGGCAGAAGGGACCCTGTTTACCTCACACTGGCTCCTGGTGACCACAGCGGTTGAGAAGCAGTGGCTCTCCGGCTTGGCCAGAGCCACAGTCCAGGTCCTGCTACCCAGTGTGGGAGGCCTGGCCTCAGTGAGACTGCGCAGCTCTGGCTCGAATATTTGAAAGCATCAGCTAGGCATCGTCGCTCACCGCCTGTAATGCCAGCACTCAGGAGAAATCACTGTGATTCCAGGACAGCCTGGGCTACACAGTGAGTTGTGGGCCAGCCTGAGTTACATAGTGAGACCCTGTCTCAACCCAGATACTGGAAGGCATCCTCAGGTTTTGGTCTCAGCAGGCCATCCAGCCTCACTCTGGGCACAGGGAACATATCCCTCACAAAGTGTGTTCTTCCTGGGTCACTCAGAGACCCCTGACAGTGTCTCGGTAGGCCGTGTGACGATTCTGCCCATTAACTATAGAGGCAAACAGGCACAGAGTGATGTCAATTTTGTCCCAGGTCACACAGCAAGTCAGTGGCCCAGGTGGAAAGTGAACCTGGGCCTTTGACGTGTCAGAGTCCTTTAACTCTTGCCAAATGGATCTGGGGTCTTGTTTTGAGGCAGGGTTACATGTAGCCCTGGCTAGCCTTGAACTCTCCCCATGTAGATGAGGATGCCCTTCAAATTGATCCTCCTACCTCCAGTTCCCAAGTGCCGGGAATACAGGTGTGAGTGACCACACTGGGCTTGTTATTATGGTTGTTTTTGAGACAGAGTCTCACTATGAAGCCTTGGTTGGCCTGGAAAACTCTTATGTAGATCAGGCTGGCCTCGAACTCATATAGATCTGTCGGCTCCAGCCTCCCAGTATTAGAACTCAAAGTGTGTGTCACCACATCTGGGCATTGTTGTTTTGAGACAGACTGTGTATCCCAAGCTATCCTGGAACTCATGGTGATCCTCCTGCCTCAAGCACTACAGTGCTGGATTACAGGTGAGAGCCAGGGTACCTCAACTCTTGAGGAAGGGAGAGCTGGTGGTAGTCTAAAGAATCTCCTTTCGCCTCCTCCACATCTGTCCGAGCGCATGATGTTTGAACGTCCCCCATCTCCCCTGCAGACGCTGAGGAGTCACACATCCCGTCACTGTCCCCCATCTTCCTGTCCAGCTCTGAGCCATGGCAACTTCCAGGATGCCCTCCGTGCCTGAGGAGGAGACCACCATCCTCATGGCCAAGGAAGAGCTGGAGGCCCTGCGCTCGGCCTTTGAGTCTGGCGACATCCCCCAGGCCGCCTCTCGCCTCCGGGAGCTGCTGGCCAACACGGAGAGCACCCGGCTGGAGGTGGGCGTCACGGGTGAGTCCGGAGCCGGCAAGTCCTCCCTCATCAACGCCCTGCGTGGCCTGGGGGCCGAGGATCCCGGCGCAGCTCTCACCGGGGTCGTGGAGACCACCGTGCAGCCTTCGCCTTACCCGCACCCACAGTTTCCCGACGTGACCCTGTGGGACCTGCCGGGGGCCGGTTCTCCAGGCTGCTCAGCAGACAAGTACCTGAAGCAGGTGGACTTCGGCCGCTATGACTTCTTCCTGCTCGTCTCCCCGCGCCGCTGCGGCGCCGTGGAGACCCGCCTGGCTGCGGAGATCCTGCGCCAGGGCAAGAAGTTCTACTTCGTGCGCACCAAGGTGGACGAGGATCTGGCGGCCACCCGCAACCAGCGACCCTCGGGCTTCAGCGAGGCCGTGGTCCTCCAGGAGATCCGGGATCACTGCGCGGAGCGGCTGCGGGCAGCCGGTCTGAATGACCCCCGCATCTTCCTGGTGTCCAACCTGTCGCCAGCCCGCTATGACTTCCCGATGCTCGTGTCCACCTGGGAGCACGACCTGCCCGCCCACCGTCGCCACGCCGGCCTGCTGTCCCTGCCTGACATCTCGCTGGAGGCTCTGCAAAAGAAGAAGCACATGCTCCAAGAGCAGGTGCTCAAGACTGCCTTGGTGTCCGGGGTCATCCAGGCCCTGCCTGTCCCCGGACTGGCAGCCGCCTACGATGACGCCCTGCTCATCCGTTCTCTGCGCGGCTACCACCGCAGCTTCGGCCTAGACGACGACTCGCTGGCCAAGCTGGCCGAGCAGGTGGGCAAGCAGGCAGGGGACCTGCGCTCCGTCATCCGCTCCCCTCTGGCCAACGAGGTCTCCCCAGAGACTGTCCTGCGACTCTACTCGCAGTCCTCGGATGGCGCCATGCGGGTGGCCCGTGCCTTCGAGAGGGGCATCCCCGTGTTCGGCACGCTGGTGGCCGGGGGCATCAGCTTCGGCACGGTCTACACCATGCTCCAGGGCTGTCTCAATGAGATGGCTGAGGACGCCCAACGCGTCCGCATCAAGGCCCTGGAGGAAGATGAGTCCCAGGCCGCCGAGGTGAGCTTGGAGGCGGCTGGTGACATCGGTGTGGAGAAGCGGGTGGCCGGGGAGGGAACCAGCGAGGAAGCCCCGCTGTCCACCCGCAGGAAGATCGGCCTCCTCCTCAAGTACGTTCTTGACAGCTGGAAGAGGCGTGATTTGCCAGAAGACAAGTAAAGGCGCAGCCCCTCCCCCGCCCCGCCCCGCCCCGCCCCGCCCCGCCCCGCCCCGCCCCGCCCGCCTCACCTGCGAGCCAAGCCCTTAAAAACCATCATCAACCACACAGGGCTACTGTGATCAACCGGAGGGAGAGCTGCAGCTGTTGGGCATGAGGTGGATGGGTGACAAGAGTCTGCAGGGTGGGTGGGGAGCGAGTTATGGGGGCCACACAGGCCTGGATCTAGGGGTAAATACTGAATGTGGTAACACTACCCTGAGGACAGGGAGGCTGAGGGGTGGAGGGGTGCCCAGGGCTCCTCAGTAGTGTCTCGCCCTGCTGCACCCCATGAGGCCAAGGCGGGAGCTGTCAATTGCCTGGGAGGCTGTGTGTGTGTGTGTGTGTGTGTGTGTGTGTGTGTGTGTGTGTGAGAGAGAGAGAGAGAGAGAGAGTCAGAGACAGAGAGAGACAGAGACAGAGAGAGAGACAGAGACAGAGACAGAGAGAGGACCTCCTGGGGAACTCTGTATTATAATTTGATGGTGGGCATGGAACAAGGCCTTGTTCTAAGCTTTGTCCACCCCTGAGCTGCACACCCACTCCCACCCACTCCTTGAACTAAACTTTCATTCTCTTGTTCCATTCTGATAGCCCCGGAATCATACCCAAAGGCTACTTCTAAGAGTTAATAGGCACCTGGGAACTGACACAGAGTTGGGGGGGGGGGCGGGACAGGGCATCTTGGGCCTGCCCTGATAGCAGGGAACAGTGGTGGGCAAGGGTGGTAAGGAAAAGGAGGCCAGAAAACCTGGGGCTTTCGTATGTGTGGGCCATGCAATGCTCAGGGAGAGTGTGAGGAGAAAGGCGGATGGACCCCTCAGTAGCCTAGACTGAGCCTTTTAGGCTTCCGCTGTCTGGGGTATCTGTGAGTGGGAGGGTTACTGTTTTTTTCCAGTGGGCTAAATCTAGAACTTCATGCTAGACAAGTTCTCTACTCACTGCCCCAGCCCCTCACTGGGGGACTCTAGGCAGGGGCTCTACCACTGAGCCACACCCCCAGCCCCTCACTGGGGGACTCTAGGCAGGGGCTCTACCACTGAGCCACATCCCCCCAGCCCCTCACTGGGGGACTCTAGGCAGAGGCTCTACCACTGAGCCACACCCCCAGCTCCTCACTGGGGAATTCAGGGCAAGCGCTCTATAGCTGACCTACATCCCCATCTAGAATCCTGTAAGTCTCCATGATTTTGAGGTAGTGGATCTGCACAAAATACCTAAGCAAACCCACTTGAAGATTTAAGAGGATTCCTTTTGGCTCTCAGCCCATGGTGCCTGGCTTCATAGCTGTGGACCCGTGGTGAGATAGCACCTCTTGGCTCCAGCAGTACACGGCAGGTGAGGCTGCTTACCTCATGGTACCCAGGAAACAGACACACACCAACCACATGTGCATACGCAGACAGACACACACACACACACACACACACACACACACACACACACGTGCTCGCACACACACCCCAGAGGAAGAGGCCAGGAATAAGATATCAAATCACACCACCACCACCACCCCGCCAGCTACCCACTTCCTCCAAGCAGGCTCTGTGAGCTATGGTTCCCACTCCTACCCCCTACAACCATATTATGAATCCATTAACGGAGCAATCCACTGATGCCTTCAGCCCCTTCGTGACCCAGCCACATCCTAAAAGCTTCTCTCTAGTGACAAAGCCTTGCGTAGCCCATCTTGATGTTGAACTACATCTTGAAGAATCCTGCATTTCCGATTCCTTCTGCCTCCACCTCCTGAGTGATGAGATTATGGGCGTGCACCACCACAACTGGTTCATGGGTGCTGGGGATGGAGCCGGGGCTTCCTGAATGCTGGGTGAGCATCCTACCAGCTGAGCCCCCCACCTCTGAACACTGCACCGAGGACCCATGCCTTCAATACAGAGGTCTTTTTGGTGGTGCATAAGACCCAAGCCATAGCAGCATGGTTGAGCGTGGTCATTCGGCTGAAAGGCTGGAGGGCTGAAGAGGGCATGTCTCGTGTTAGGGCGCGGTGGGGGTGTGTGTATCCAATAAAAACATGGACGTGACTGGTATGTATACCACAAAGGGTGAGACTGCTCTGCTCAAGTGTCCCAGTGAGATTAGGCTCCTAGGCACTTCTCAGGGCCTCCCTCTGTGCGTGGTTCTTGGTGGTGGTCCCTCTGATGGTGGTATGCAAAAATGCTCTGGCCTGGACTCAAGTCTGAACTCCCTATTAAAGGCCACAGTGTCCAACCTACTAGAAAGCCGGGCAGTGGTGGCACACGCCTTTAATCTCAGCACTCAGGAAGCAGAGGCAGGCGGATCTCTGTGAGTTCGAGGCCAGTCTGGCCTACAGAGCAAGTTCCAGGACAGCCAGGTGTAGCTAGAGTTTTCCTGCCTGGCCCACAGTCAGGACAAATCTCTGTCACCCACCAGTCCCACAGCCGCTCAGACCCAACCAAGTAAACACAGAGACTTATATTGCTTACAAACTGTATGGCCGTGGCAGGCTTCTTGCTAACTGTTCCTATATCTTAAATTAATCCATTTCCATAAATCTATACCTTGCCATGTGACTCATGGCTTACTGGCGTCTTCACATGCTGCTTGTCATGGTGGTGGCTGGCAGTGACTCCCTCCGCCTTCCTGTTTTCTCTGTTCTCCTCTCTGTTAGTCCCACTTATACTTCCTGCCTGGCCACTGGCCAATCAGTGTTTCATTTATTGACCAATCAGAGCAATTTGACATACAGACCATCCCACAGCAGCCAGGGCTATTCAGAGTAAACCTGTATCAAAAAGTCATAAAAAATGGAAATGAGTTGTTGGGAGTGCAGAAGTCTCACTGAGGCCTGGGCATTGTGGGGAAGCTGATTTGCAACTTGCTGCCCAGCGTGGCCAGCTTAGAATGGTCTGGAAAGATCTGAAAGAAAGACTTGTTTTTCTGAGCTGTGGAGCCAGCGGTGTGGTCTGAACTTGGCAATGTGAGATGAGAAGTCAAATTTGTGGTTCACGGGAGGCAGAGAGGCAGGGGCAGGTGGATGGATGGGGATCAGCTGTCCCGTGACTGGTGGTTCTGGGAGAGACTCGGGGTCCTCCGCACGCTGGGAAGCTCACAGTAGAAACAGTCTGGCCCCCTACTGGAGCTGCCTTCAGGGGAGGCAGCAAATGGAGGGTCCCGCAGGCCCTGCCTCCTGTCCCGTGCAGGAGGAGGCTGGGCTGAGATCCAGCCTGGCAGTTGCATCGTGGGAAACCTTCCAAGCTTCGTGAAGCTCCCAAGAAGGCTCTGGAGATTATACAAAGCAGGTGGCAGACAAGGATGTGGGACAAGGGAGCTGGGCTCACCCAAGTCGGTCCCATCTGCTTCCTGAGGATTCCCAGATCTGAGGATAGTTCTAACCTTGAGTGACCTGGCCCTAGCCAACAGCCCCAGACCGAGAGCTCCCTTCTCCTGGGAGATTATGGGGTGCAGACCCTCTTTGCTTTGTAAAAGGGCTTTCTCTCCCCTCTTGATTTGTGTGTGTGTGTGTGTGTGTGTGTGAGAGTGTGTGTGTGTGTGTGTGTGTGTGTGTGTGTGTGTGTGTGCGTGCATGTTACAGAGTGCACATGGAGGTCACAGGACAACTTGGTGAGTTAATTCTCTCCTCTGTCTTTACCTTGGTCCTGGGGATTGAACTCAGGGAGACAGGCTTTTGTGCAGGTACCTTTACCCAGAACTCCCCTTTTTCCCAGGAGGCCTCTCTCCCTTGTTTTGTCTCTGCCAGAATTACTTAGGGGCACTCATGGCCCTATCCGCACCAAAGGGGCTGCAGGGGTAGAAAAAACCCAGACCTGGCTGTGTGTGGTGGGGCATGCCTATAATGGCAGCAGTTGGGAAGTGGAGGCAGGAGGATCAGGAGTTCAAGGTTGTCCTCAGCCACATAGGGAGTCTGAACTGAGGCTGTACTTGGGTAGAAGCACTTGCCTTGCATGCTTGAGGTCCTGGGTTTAACCCCTAGAACTAGACAGAAACCTTTGAAGCCAGCCCAGATGACTTAAAAAAACGCCTTAAGAGAAAACAAACAAAAACACCCACCAAAAGAAAAGCCCCAGCATGGGGCTGGAGAGATGACTCCAAGGTTAAGAGTACTGGCTGCTCTTGCAGAAGACCTGGGTTCAGTTCCTAGCACCCACATGGTGGCTCACAACTGTCTGTAACTCCAGTGCCAGAGGATGCAGCACCCTCTACTGGCCTCCGTGGGCACCAGACATGCACATGATGCACAGATACACACGCAGGTGCTCACACATATTAAAACAGCACAGGGGCTGGAGAGATGGCTCAGAGGTTAAGAGCATTGGCTGCTCTTCCAGAGGTCCTGAGTTCAATTCCCAGCATCCACATGGTGGCTCACAGCCATCTGTAATGAGATCTGGTGCCCTCTTCTGGCCTGCAGGGATACGTGCAAACAGAACACTGTAAACATAGTAAATAAATATTAAAAAAAAAAAAACCAGCACAGATCTTCAGCGGGTCCCTTCCAAACCTATGCTCTAAATTAGCCCACAACTCTGTGCCCTATGGATTGCTGACACCCCAGACTCGGGGTGTCCTGGCTCTGTGGGGGGCTGCGATGGAAGGGTTGGGAACCAGGAGCCGGATAGTCTCACCATAGGTCTTAAAGTGCAGAGGGACAGAGTGGGTTTTTCCTTTGTCATCTCTCTTCTGTTCCCTCAGCCAACGGGTCCCCACTTCCTGTCTCTTTGCCTCCATGTCTCCCTTCTCCACTCCATCCCCTCAGCTCCTTAGAGGCCAGCAGCTCTCACCCCAGACACCTGCTTTGTTGGGTCAGGTCCAAGCCTCATTCCCCATAGGAAACAGAAGAGAGAGAGAGAGAGAGAGAGAGAGAGAGAGAGAGAGAGAGAGAGAGAGAGAGAGAGAGCATGCGTTGCTCAAACATTTCTGTGGCTTCCCAGCCTGCTGTCCCAGGCCCTTCCTCTGCCCAAACCTCATCAAC